GCCTCTTGTGCTTTATGTTACTGCACTGCAATGACTCATCTATCAACAGAACAAAAATTTCATGCAAAGAGAACGCTAACCCAGTAGTGTTCTAATTGGTCGGATACTCCTAAAGTACCTCTAGGCTTAGATCGCAGTGATAAGTTCCGTGATTCCCATACCTGGCCTTAATGAAGTTGAGCAATAAATTAACAAAGGCTGATTCCCCGCTGGTATCCCTGAACTGGGAGGAACAACAGCTACAAAAAACTGTAAGAAAACCTTACAGCCCCACCTCCACCAAGCTCACGACAGGTGTGTTTAATTTTTACCTGTTCAACCTGAATCTTCAAGTAATCTGTTGGTTCTTTAAATGAGCACCCCAAGCCATGTGCTCGAACCACCTGCGCACTGTGAAGCTGGCACGGGCGCCAGAGATCCACAGCAGGATCCAGCTGCACCTTTGGATCAAAGGAAGCTAAAAGGACAAATGAGAGAGAGAGGTTCAAGCTTCATGACAGAACACAAACCTCTGCAAGATTTTTTTTTTGGTAAACAATTTTTTTTATTTTTCTTAGGAATTCAACATATAGAAATAAACCATTTCATCCTTTCCATTGTCTACCCCATTCCCATTTCCTCCCCTCCCTCCAGTGGCTTCCCGCAATGCTTCCCCCCCTACTCCACATTACTTTACATCATCAATTATATCATTTTTTTATGATTACAATCTTAAGATAACATCATTTGACTTAATATTGCTCTAAACATATTAAGTTTTGCTTCACATCCCAGTTCTTTTCCAGATATATTTTAAAGTCACTCCATTCTTGAAAAAACACATCATCTTCTTTGTTATTCAACTTTTTCGTAATTTTATCCATTTCTGCCATGAACAGAACTTTTTGTATCCAGTCTTCAATTTCTGGTACTTTCTCTGTTTTCCAAAATTGTGCATAAATCATTCTCGCAGTTGTAATTAAGTACCAAACCTCTGCAAGATTAATGCGTTCCTGGGTTCATCTGACCAGTGAACGCCACATGCTCTTCGGACAGAATGGGAATACTTTCAGCTTGCTTGCTTGTAGAATTGCCAACCTCCAGGTGGTAGCTGGAGAGCTTGGGTTATTACAACTGATCTCCAGGTGAAAGAGATCAATTCCCCTGGAGAAGATGGCTGCTTTGGAGGGTGGACTCTGTGGCACTATATTGTGTTGAGGTCCCTCCCTGTCCCCTCCCCAAACCCCGCCCTCCCCAGGCTCCACCCCCCACAAATCTCCAGGTATTTCCCAACCCAGAGCTGCCAACCTGACTTGCAGGGCACCCTAATTGTTCATTGATCTCAAGGGATAAATATGAATTCGATCCCTATCTTATATGTATCTTTACAGAACGCGTGTGCTCACAAAGGGATACAGCTCCTAAATTGTTATATGTGCTGAATGTGTGTTTATTAAAAAGCAAATCCTTCTGAGGTAAATGGCACTTACTTCCAAGTAGGTATGAAGAAGAGAGAAGAAGAGATTGGGTTTATACCCTGCCCTTCAGTACCCAAAGGTGTCTCAGAGCGGCTTACAAACTCCTTTCCCTTCCCCTCCCCACAACAGACACCCTGTGAGGTAGAAGAAGAGAGAAGAAGAGATTGGATTTATACCCCACCCTTCACTACCCAAAGGAGTCTCAGAGCGGCTTACAAACTCCTTTCCCTTCCCCTCCCCACAACAGACACCCTGTGAGGTAGAAGAAGAGAGAAGAAGAGATTGGATTTATACCCCACCCTTCACTACCCAAAGGAGTCTCAGAGCGGCTTACAAACTCCTTTCCCTTCCCTTCCCCACAACAGACACCCTGTGAGGTAGAAGAAGAGAGAAGAAGAGATTGGATTTATACCCCACCCTTCACTACCCAAAGGAGTCTCAGAGCGGCTTACAAACTCCTTCCCCATTCCCCTCCCCACAACAGACACCCTGTGAGGTGGGTGGGGCTGAGAGAGCTCTGACAGGAACTGCTCTTTTTCAAGGACAGCTGTGCCAGAGCTTGTGACTGACCCAAGGTCACATCAGCAGGTGCAAGTGGAGGAGTGGGGAATCAATCCCGGTTCTCCCAGATTAGAGTCCGCACACTTAACCACTACACCAAACTGGCTCTCATGCACAGGACCATAGCCTTAGGGCAGGGTTGCTGACAATCTGGAGGGGGGAAAAGTCTTGCTCCTTTACTATAGGCTTGATGTGTCATATAGGCAGCTGAAGCTTTTCATGGCAGAGCTAAATAACATAGCCTGGTAACATGCCATTAAGCTTCTGTTAAAGGGGAAGGACTTTTTTCCTCCATGTTGTTGGCAACCTCCCGGGCTGGAGAGGTAATAATAATTATCATATGCCATTGTGTGTAGTGTAGCCAGGAGAGCCTAAGATTATCTGGCAGCCAGAAGTTCTAACTCTTTTAGCGTTATGCACCACTAGGTGGTGAGCTACATTTGGTTTTTAAGGCAAGAGATGTTTCAGAGGTGGTCTGCCATTGCCTGCCTCTGTGTCACGTGCTGGCGTGCCGCTAGTATCCCTTGGAGGTTTCCCATCCAAATACTAGACAAGGTCAGCCCTACATAGCTTCCGAGATCTACTGAGATCGGGCTGAGGATATGGTGTTGTAAATTGTTTCAATTTACCCTGTACTTTAACCCAAGCAGAGAGTCCCCGCAAATGCACCCCATCACTTACATACTGGTCATCAGTTTTCAATATCAGATGTCACTTTGGCATGAAATGTCATATTGTCACCTTTATGAGGGACAGAGGCTATGCTAAGTTAGTTTTAACAGCTACAAGGTTGCCAGAAATCCAATAGATACTGTTTGGATCCTAACTGCAACCTAAAGTGCGGTTCTTCCCTTCCACCATGTTATCCCCACCACCAGAGGTCATTTCGGGGGGAATCGCGGGGGATCGCAGTTCCCCCGGGTGAGGTGCAGGGGGCGGGGCACATGACGAAGCCCCCTGCTTCCGGCCGCCCTGCTTCTGGCCCTCATTCAGCCATGAGGAGGCAGGAGAAGAGGGAGGGTAAGTTGCTTCCTCCCTGCCTCTCCCACCTCTGCCTGCCTGGGGCCAGGGAGGGCCTTCGCGAGGCTTCCTTGCACTCCCGCCAGCCTTGCAGGTCCACCACCGGGCCCCTCATGGGGCTCGGCAGTGGAGCTGCAAGGCCAGCGGCGCCCGGGACCGTTGGGGGCGCCCGGGACCGTGTGTGGCCCTATGACACACTTCCGGTGATGTGAGGGGGTGTGGCATATGCTAATAAGGTATGCTAATGAGTTCCCCTAGCTCTTTTTCTATGAAACGACCCTTGCCCACCACAATTCTGTGAAGTAGGTTAGGATTGGGGGGAGGGCTGGCCAAAGGTCACTCAGACGGCTTTTGTGGCAGGGATCCCTAATACGGTGCCCATCAAGGGCTTTTAGGAAATGTGTAGGGCCAGATAGGGTTCTTGCCGGGTAGGTCTTCTGATCAGCCACGGAAGATCACATGGTCTATGCAGATTAAAATAGCACTGTTTCAGCAGCAGTTGCCACCACGGTGTTTATGTTTCCTCTCACCCCTCTTTCCAGGAAAACTACCTCTCTTTTTCCCTGGCACTTGAGCTTCCTCTGTGTGGCGCAGCTTCCTACGGCAGCCATTTTGTGGTTGCACCCACTCCACTGTGTCAGAATTAGGGTTGCCAGCCTCCAGGTGGGGCCTGGAGATTTCCTGTTTTTACAACTGATCTCCAGCTGACAGAGATCAGTTCCCCTGGAGAAAATGGCTGCTCTGGAGGGTGGACTCTATAGCATTGGACCCTTCTGAGGCCCCTCCCCTCCCCTCCCCTCCCCCTCTCCCTGATCCGCTCCCAAAGTCTCCAGGTATTTTCCAAACCAGACCTGGCAACCCTAGTCAGAAGCCTGAAGGTGCCCACAGGCTCAAAAAGGTTGAGGGCCCCTGTTCTATGGCAAAACAGGGATGCAGACCTGGAGTCTCCCTAATAGACTTGCCTGACACTCAGACCATCCAGGCTCACTGTGGACAAATGTAAAAGGAAGTGCTAAGATCACATGTAATTGCCACCGGATCGTTGTTAAAACGAAATAAAGCAATGTATGTAGGGAAGGGAGATGTATTTCATGTGTACTTTGGAAAACATTACGTTAACCACATTGATCTTAATAGATCTGTAGAAGTCTGAGGGGGGGTGAGCTGAATGTCAAAGGAAGAGGCATCTCCAAGACCTCTGGCATTGACTTATTTCTCTACAAACTATACTCTCATTTATTGGTTTAGAACACTGACATGCCCCCCTTTTCCATTCAAAATGGTTCCCACGAACCATAAAACAGACATATAAATAAACATTACAGTAAACGTCAAAATCTTTAAGGCAGTAAACATCGACAACATAACATTTAAAAAGCAGTAGAACCAAATTTAGAGCCCAATGGCACTTTTAAGACCAAGAAAGGTTTATTCAAGGTGTGAGCTTTCGTGTGCACGCACACTTTATCAAATACCATCAAATATTTGATAATAAAGTGTGCATGCACACGAAAGCTCATACCTTGAATAAATCTTTCTTGGTCTTAAAGGTGCCATTGGACTCCAAATTCATTCTACTGCTTCAACACGGCTGACCAACTGGATCTATTTAAAAAGCAGGTTGAGAATCTATTTTTAAATGCCTTTCTAAAATAATTAACAAACATGAACGCATCCTGGGATTCGAACCCGCACCGTCCGCTGTTAGCGCCGTTCGTGCCCATCCTACAGGCAGAGCTCGCGCGAACTGGCCGCTTAACCACCCCTCTCTTTCTCTTTCCCATTCTGACCAATCAGGGGCTGCAGCCCGGGCATTCTGCGCTCGTGACGCACCTTCCCGGGGAGGCAAGGTTCCAAAGGGTCTGGGACGCTGGAGCGCGCGCGCTTGCGTGCATGCAGCCTTGTTTGAGGGTTGCATAGGAGAGGGAGTGTGTGTGTAAAGCAGAAGGGTGGAAGCCCGTAGCGGAGGCAGGCAGTGGAGTAGGGATGGCAAGCTGAGGAGCCTCCACGCCGAAAGGCACTGGAGAAGGGGCTCCCCTTTTTGTTTTGGTCTGCGAGCCGGAGCAGATTATTTCCCATTTTTTTTGGCTGTTGTTGTTGTCGGGTGTGAAAGCCGCCCATCTGCTGCAGTCTGGGGTTTCCCGCCCTCTTTAATTCGATTTAATGCAATAATATATTTTTTCCCCCGCTTTCCGAGGTTGCTTTTTTCTTTTTCTTTCTTCCAAAATTATTAAGTGTAAGAAGCCGCTCTGGCGGACGGCCTCTTTGGCAATCGGCTTTGCAGCTGTCCATTGAAGAGTTGGCTGCGGGGGGAGGCGGCGGCGGCGGCGGATCTCTCTCTGGTGCATCCGATGCATTTCTAAGCAGCTCGCCCGCGAGCTCCCCCGCCTCGATCCGACTTGTTGTGTGGGCATGAGCCGTCATGGAGAGCGATGGGCTTGGTTGCTCGCCTCGTGTGGGGGGGATAGAGACGTGTTGATTTCATTATTATCGTTTTTTCCCCCCTGCCTTCCCTCCCCGTTTGGGAGGCTTTTCTCGGGGTCGCGTTGCTAGGAGCGGCGTGTAAGCAATAGCCGCCAGTCACCTCGGGGGTTTCCAGCAGCCAGCTAGAGGAGGGGGCTTCGTCTTCCCCCACCCACCCCAGATCTTATTTTATTGTGTTCTTCTACAATCGCTTCCTTCCCCGCCCCGCTGAAGGGTAGAAATTGGAGTCGGGCTTTTTTGTTGTCGTGTCTCCGTGCGAGTAAGGTCGGTGGGGGAAACCCGCAGCAATTTCTTCGCTGCCAGCTCGGATCGAGAGGGGAGAAAGATGGAGGCGGTGATCGAGAAGGAATGTAGCGCTCTCGGAGGACTCTTCCAAACCACCATCGGCGACATGAAGGTAAGGGCGAGGGGCGCCTTCGTGAGCCGGGCTGCCGCGAAACCCCGCTGGCTTGGCACATTCCAAACGCCACCTTGCATTAAACACCTTTTTTTTTGGGGGGGGGGAGAGGGGATCACCCCCTCCCCGTGTGTTGCATGCAGATGCAATCCTGCCTTGCTTGGACTGCATGCTGCTGCTTCGATCCGGGGTGTCATGCCCCTCTCCCCCGCTGCTCCTGGTGGAAGGCAAAAAAAAAAAAAATCGTTCGCGAAGCATTTATTGCTCTTTCCTTGCTCCGTGTGCTGGCATCTTCGCTCTCCCCCCGAGGCCAGAGCTTTCCTCGAGCTCTCTCGGGATTCCTCTTAATTGTTAAGCCGAACAGCACCAGTCAATTAAAAGGGAGAGGGGCAGGCTCTGTGTAAAACCCGAGCCTGCCCCCCCCTTTGGAATCGCCGAGGCAGTGCCCGTCAGAGGCATTTGTGTGTGTGTGTGTTGTAAACTTGAGCAACTAATGTTTATTCTTGTGGGGGCTCTCCAGGTTGTGAAGGCTTGGCGACAAGTCACATACCGCCTTTGTTTCCAATCTGGTGCCTTTGTACTTGCCACGGTGCTCACCTGACGAAGAGGTGACCCAAGTTATAATGGCTTGCTCAGGGCCACCTGATAAACGTTTGGGGTTATGGGCTGAGGTGTGTGGCTGGATGTCCTGTCTTCCTAGCGAATGCGGCAGCCGTCCCTGAATAGCTTGGTGTTTGAAAATGAGGCCCGTGGAGAGCTAAGTGGAGCCTCCAGTTTTAGGGGCAGACTTCGGAATTCCCGATGTTTTTTTGGGAAAGGGTGTTTCTGGAGGCGTTTGCTTGTTAGCATTGGGGGACGATGTGAACCTGTGTCTGACCCATTGCTTATTTTATTGAACGTATGCTGTCCCAAGGAAAGCGTGGCATCTCTCCGATACAAGACCAAAGAGTTGGCGACTGCTTGTGGGAAGGAGCCACTGTAAAGGGTGGACACCAGGAGTTTGTGTTTGGGTCCCACCTGGCCTCAGGACACCAGGGCATGCCATTCTCTGTGACGATGGTGGCGGATTCATACCACGTTCAGCGCAGTGTAGATTTTTGTTCCACTTTTGTTCCGTTTACAAGCCGTTTCCCCTTAGGCGAGAGACCACGGGTGGTGAGGGGGCCATCTGTCAACCTTGCAGAGCCCTGTGCAGCAAGGGCAGGATGTCTTGTAGGAAGGAGAACTGAAATCAACTTAGTCAGAAAGGAAAGTGCAAGCTGGCGAGGAGGGGTTGGTCAGGATCCAAATGGGAGTGGTGTGTGTACGAATGTGCTTCGGGTGCCATGCCGTGCCTCCTTAATAGCATGAAAGGCTGTATATAATTCTCCCCGTTTGGTTTCCGATGAAGATGTCGTAGAGGGGAAAGATATGGGTTGTCGAAGGGGTGGGGGGAGTCTTGACTTCTTGCGAAGGATCAGGTGGGCACTTGACATTTGCCCAGTTCTTAAACTGTGGCCGAGCTAGATCAAGACGGGTAACCACGTTAGTCTGTCTGTAGCAGTAGAAAAGAGCCAAGAGTCCAGTAGCACCTTAAAGACCAACAAAATTTGTGGCAGGGGAGGAGCTCTTGTGAGTCACTGCTCACCTCTTCATACATCTGTGCACTTCTAGATGAAGAAGTGAGTAGTGACTCACGAAAGCTCCTACTCTGCCACAAATTTTGTCAGTCTGTAAGATGCTACTGGACCCTTGCTGTTTTCTACTGTGGCAGGGTCAGCGGCTTGGGGGGGATGCCTGTACCCGTGTCCCTTAGAAGTGCACATTTATTTATTTATTTATTTATTAGTTCGATTTATACCCCACCCTCCCCGCCAAGGCGGGGTTTTCTGTTCATCTACACCAGAATGCCCTGACCTGGATAGCCCAGGCTAACCCGATCTCGCCAGATCTTGGAAGCTAAGCAGGGTCGGCCCTGGTTAGCATTCGGATGGGAGACTTGCAAGGAATACCAGGGTCATGACACAAAGGCAGGCAATGGCAAACCAGCTCTGAATGTCCCTTGTCTTGAAAACACCACGGGGTCGCCATAAGTCAGCTGTTGACGGCGCTTTCTACCACCACCAGAATGCCAAAGACACTGGAAGTGTGCGTCTTGTTTTAGGGAAAGGTTTTGTGGAGGGTTGAATCTGAGGTGTCTGTAATGATGAATGTTGTGGGATGTGATTGGGTTCCAAACCCTTCCTTTGTGGAACCGAGCATGTGGCCTTTGGGAGGCTGAAAGGGGGGGGGGGAGAGATCCCAAACAAAACCTGCAGTCATTTTCATTAAGTCCATTTCAACACAGGCAGGGCACATCTTAGCAGATGTCGCCTTCTGCCAGATGGAATGTGGCTCTGAATTCTGCTCCAAGCAGTAGCTTGGTGAAGGAGACTGTATATCTTCCGTTCTTTCCAGCAGGAAGCAAATAATTCTCAGAAAAATATAATAATTGTGCAGTGCTGCTACCTGCAGCTGAAAAAAGTGCTCACCTGGAACATCTCTTTTCCTTATAAGTGGCCAACGTTTTTTATGGGTTTCTTCTTTTAAAGGAAAATATCACTCTGTTGCAACAGTGGAACCAAACATTTAACCCTGAAAATTACGGTGCAGAAACTCGGAAGATGAAAGAGAAGACCAATCCAACAGCCTGTTTCGTGGCAGTATGCTTAGCTAACCCAAACTTGGTTGTTTCTGAAGTCCACCTCCAGCCCTTTTAACCAAGTATCTTCAGTTAATCATTTGCTTTCCTTGCTTATTGAGTGCAGAAGTGATGCTAATTTAGGTCATAATCCTCCCCCTGTGTCATGGAGGGCAAATTCCGTTGAACTCCGTGGGCTCACTTTTTGGTAAATTTACCATAGGATTGGGCTATACGCCAGATTTTGGGTTTTTTAAAGTCAAACAGCTTCTTTTCATCAAACTACAATCTTGTGGCTTGACTATGCCTGCAGGCTTAAGTACGCTTACACAGGAGTATGCCCTGTGACTATAGAACTTGGCTTTTAAATACTTGCTTTAACCGGATTGTGAGCCAAGGTTTGGTGCCGCAGCAGAGAAGGGACTCTACACAATCTGATGGCCCTCCTGTAATGTGACTGCTGGGTCCTTTCTAGTGCAAATATTTATCCTTTGGCTCTTGGTTTTGTGTGCTTTGAGAGAGACATTCCGGAAGACAGACTTTAAAAAAACACCCCCAAATAAGGGCTAGGATTACCCATCCTGGGTGTCGGCCGTGGGTGTAGCTTTGAATGCTGGCTCAGCTACAAGCTGAGACAAGGACAGATCCCGTTGAAGGCCCTGGCCTTGTCCATGCTTGTTGGATATGCTTGTAACTGCTCCGGTTCAGTCGCCACCTGTTTGCTTGTTGTGAAAGAATGGGTCGCTCTCCTTTGTGTGGATGGAGGAGGCTCCCATGTGCGGGGGCCTCCAGCCGGCTTGCAATGCACAGTTGTCGCAAGTGGCGTGTTAACTTGGGACGTTAAGGATATCAAGGCCCCAAAGGGCTTCGTGATATTAACCTGTCACTCCAAGTTGATTCGCTTGCTCAAAAAAAGTTTTCTGTGTTTTCCCAGATGCCGACGTCGTTCCCCCCTCCCCCCAGCTGTCCATATTTTTGGTCCTCCATGGCAACTTTTCGACAGTTGTCAAGATTTGCCAGATTAGAATTCCAGACATTGGGAAGGAGGGGTTGGTACACACCCTCCCCTCCAAGAAAAACAGGGACATCTGTTGTGCTCTATGTGTGGCTCTGAGGTTGGTGAAACAAGGACTGCCTCTTAAAAAAGAAAGGAAGTCTGATAGCCTTACTTTGTATATCTAAGTACTATATTTGGAGGTCTTTAAAAAAAAATAGACTCAGCACAATTCTGTCGACTCTCAAATTTATTAATGTGTGGAACGGAGCCATGATAATTGCAGATTTAATTAAATGCTCACAATTTCTTTTGCCTGTCATTAAAAAAGATCTGAGTGGCCCCTGAAACTGTCGAGAAGTCTTCTGAATAGTCCCAGTAAACTAATTTATTTAGATATTTGTACCTCTTTTCTCGCCAGTGGGGACCCAAAGCAGCTTACGGAATTGTTCCCCTTATCCAGCTTGTCGTCACAACAATAAGCCTGTAGAGTAGGCCAGGCGGAAAGAAAATGACTGGCCAAAGGTCACCCAGCAAGCTTCCACGGTGGAGTGGAGATTCAAACCCGGGTCTCCTGGACATAAGAACATAAGCGAAACCAATGTTGGATCAGGCCAGTGGCCCATCCAGTCCAACACTCTGTCACACAGTGGCCAAAAATACCAGGTGCCATCAGGAGGTCCAGCAGTGGGTCCAGGACACTAGAAGCCCTCCCACTGTTGTGCCTCCCCCCCAAGCACCAAGAATACAGAGCATCACTTGCCCCAGACCGAGAGTCTATACCTTGTGGCTAATAGCCACTGATGGACCTCTGCTCCATATGTTTATCTGATTCCCTCTTGAAGCTGTCCATGCTTGTAGCCACTGCCACCTCCTGTGGCAGTGAATTCCATGTGTTAATCACACTTTTATCCATTCTAACCCAACTGCTCAGCAATTTCATGGAGTGCCCATGAGTTCTTGTATTGTGAGAAAGGGAGAAAAGTACTCCTTTTTCTACCTGCTCTATCCCATGCATAATCTTGTAAACCTCGATCATGTCACCCCTCAGCCGTCGTTTCTCCAAGCTAAAGAACCCCAAGCGCTTTAACCTTTCTTCATAGGGAAAGTGTTCCAACCCTTTTGAAAGTTTGGAAAGATTCCTAATGTGATGTGTAAGCCCTCAATAAGTGGGTGCGGTGGCCGGTCATGCCGGCCACATGACCATGGAAATGTTTTCGGGCGGCTTTGAAACGGAGATGAGCACCGCAACCGTAAAGTCGGATTCGACTGGCTTTCGAGCAAAGGAACCTTTACCTTTTTAGACCAAATCCAACTCTCCCTAGAAGCTAAAATAGCTAAACTGAG